CTTCCTCTGTGAAAAAGTCTTTCCACATCTTTTGCCCATTTTGTAATTGTGTTATCAGTCTTTTTTTTGTGGAGGCCCTATAGGGTTCTGTAAACTTTTTATATGAGACCCTTCTCTGAAATAGTATTGCCAAATGTGTTTTCCCAGTCAGTAGGTTTTCTTTTCACTCTGTTGGAAAATGTTTTTGTTGCATACAAAGATATAATCTATAGAAAGTCCCATTCACCAATTTTATACTCTCTTGGTTGTGTTTTTCTGGCTGTATTTATCAGCCTTTTATACCATGATCTTGGCCTTCTAAGCTTGGTCCTACTTTTTCTGTTATGATCTTTATATTTTGGGGCTTTACCCTTAGGTATCTGATCCACTTTGGGTTGATTTTTGTGTATGGTGTGAGATGTGGATCCTGCTTCAGCTTTTTGCAAGTAGTAGTACAGTTTTGCCAGCAGCACCATTTGTTGAAGAGGTTGCCATTTCCCCATTTGTTAAGTTTCGTTTCCTTGTCGAATATCAGTTGACCATAGATAGATGGAGGGACAAAATATTTTAAATTACTTTTCTAAAAGACCCTTGAAGGTCTGTGAAGCAAGGAAAATTTTTTACAGTCTGTCAATCTTGGCAGCTTTCAACAAAATATATATGCTTTGAAAATGAAATATTTTGCTTCCTAGATATGATATCCAAACATAGAACAGAACAAGGGAACACTGCATAGTTTAAAATTAAAAAAAAAGGTATGCATAAGGGCTATCCTTTCTCCACAGTAATTCAATCTGTATGTTGAGAAAATCATTAGAGAAACTGGACCTTATGGCATCACGATTGGAATAAGGCTTATCAACAACCTGTGTTATGCAGATGACAAAACCCTGCTACATGAAAGTGAGGAGGACCTAAAACACTGCATTGCTGCAGAAGTCAAAGACTATATAGCCTTCAACAAATGACATCTCAACATCAAGAAAACAAAAATCCTCACCACTGGGCCAAGAGGCAACATTATGCTTGATGGAAAAGAGATAGATACTGTCAACAAAATTCATCTTTTTTTTAAATTTTATTTTATTATATTATTATTTTTCTGTTTGTGTCAAATCTGATCTGACTGGTACAGAAGGAGATTGCCCCTCCTTTCTCCAGCAGAGCATGTGGTGGATTCGAACCCTGTACTTCTGGGATTACAGTGCAGCTTCTTAACAAAATTAATCTTATTTGGATCCATAATCAACACTCTCAGTACCAGCAGTCAAAAAATCAAAAGACTAGTTGGAGTAGGAAAAATCTTCTGTCAGGGATCTCTCCAAAGTGCTGAAGAGAAAGGGTGTTAGTTTAAAGACTGAAATGTACCTGATACAAACAAGGATCTTTTCAATTACTTGCTATGCATCTGAAATTTGGATACTGATTAAAGATGAATAAGAAAAAACAGTTCCTTTGAGTTGTGGTGTTAGAGAAGAGTGAATATCCCATGGACTTCCAAAAGAACAAACACTTATGTCTTGGAAAAGGTGCAACCAGGGTGTTCCTTGGAAACAAGGATTGTGAAACTTAAGTCTTACATAATTTGGGCATGTTGTTGTTGTTACATGTTGTTGAGTCACTTGTGACTCATAGCAAACTTATGTTCAACGCTCTGAATCCTGCTCTATTCTGAGTCAAGCTTATTGTCTCTGACACATCTACCCATTACCCTAGTCACTAAGTCAATCCGTCTCTTTGAGGGTCATCCTCTCTTGCTCTGTCCTTCTACTCTCCCAAGGACCGGCCCCTGCTTGCAACATACCCAAAGTATGTTAGATGAAGCTTCAGAATCCTTGCCTCCAAGAAGGACCCTGGCTTCACCCTCTCTGGGACAAACCTGTTTGTTCTCCTAGCAGTCCATGGTATATTCAATACTCTTCTCCAGCACCACAGTTCAAAGGCATCAATTCTCCTTCTATCATCCCTAGTCATTGTCCAGCTTTCTGATGCATGGCAAGTAACTGCAAAGACCATGGCCTGGATCAGACACACCTTAGTCTCCAAATGGACATCATTGTTCTTCAGTACTCTGGAGAGGTCCCTGACACCCGACTTTCCCAATGCAATTCATCTTTTTGATTTCCTGGCTGCTGGTATCAAGAGTGTTGATTGTGAAGCCAACTCAACTGAAGCTGTTAACAATCTTAATGTCTTCATCATCCATCATGATGCTGCCAATTGGCTCAGTGGTGAAAATAATTTTTTTCTTGATGGTGAGCTTCAATCCATATTGAAGGCTGCAATCCTTGACCTTTTGCAGCAAGCACTTCAGTTCCTCCTCAATTTCAACAAGCAAGATTGTGTTATCTGCATAATGCAGGCTGTTGATGAGTCTTCCTCCAATCCTGATACCACACTCATCCTCATAAAGCCCAGCCTCTTGGATGATCCGTTCTGTATATAGATTGCAAAGGAATGGAGATAGGATACATCCGTGATGTACACCTTCCTGATTTTGAACCATGCAGGGTTTCCTTAGTCTATTTTGATGACTGCCTCCTGGGATTCTTATTCTTCTTAGAGTCAGCCACAGTTTCTTGTGATCTACACGGTCAAATGCCTTTCATAGTCAATGGAACACAGACAGACATTCTTCTGGTACTCTCTGCTTTCAGCCAAGATCCATCTAAAATTAGCTATAATATCCCAAGTACCTTGGCCTCTTCTAAACCCAGCCTGCATATCTGGCAGTTCTCTGTTCCAGTTATTTCTGGATAATTTTCCACAGGAGGGGCATTTTACTTGGAAAGGTGGAGGGTCAACAAATGACACTCAATGAGTTGGATTGACACAGTCACTGTAACAATGGGCTCAAATATAGTAGAGGTGGTTTGGAGGGCACAGGATAGGTTAGGGCTCAGATCCATTGTTTGTAGAGATGCTATGAATTTTTTATCCACTCAAGAGCACCTAACAACAACATGATATAATTAAACTGGATTTAATGTACCTTTAAAAATGTTTATGCTGGTTTGTTCAATGATAAGTAAGTCCTTATTTCTTTATTAAATTTAATAGTTAGAATATTTCTATGAATTAATGAAAGTGAAAATGAATTCACTTGGACAAAATTTTTTTACAGTCTGTTAATCTTGGCAGCTTTCAACAAAATATTTATGCTAGAAGAACAGATATCTGCTTTTGTATATTTTAATTTCAAAAGCAAGACCTTTTTAAGTAACTGAAGCTAAATATTTTATGTTTTCTATTTTAAAATAAGAGCTCTGTGGCCTAGTGGCAAGAAGCTCTACTGCAATCCCAGATTTGTGCAGTTCGAATCCACCAGATGCTCTGCTGGAGAAGGAGGAACAGTCTTCTCCTGTACCAGTCAGATCTGATTTGACAGTACACACACACAAAAAATTAATAAAATTTTTTAAAAGAAGAGCTCTGGTGGCCCAGTGGCAAGAAGCTGTGCTGTAATCTCGAAGGCATATGGCTCAAGGCCACCAACTGTACTCCACAGGAGGATGGGAAATCTCCAGTGCAATTAACTGCCTCTAAAAACCCGCCAGAGGGTCAGCTATGGGTCGGTTCTGACTCGATGTTACACAATAATGACAACATTTCAGAAAAAGGGATCTTTGTCTTATAGTAAAATTAGTAGTTCCAGAATGGAAAAATGGAGGCATGGAAGAAGCCTAAAGGAAAAAAATTACAAGCCAAGAACTGATGGGTTCATTTACAAAATTGCTAAAGAATGTTGGCATTTAGTGACAGTAACTATTACTGTCACTCAATTAATGACGTTTGAGTCAGAAGTGACTGACCCCTCATCAGGTTTTCAGAGTTGTAAATCACAACTGCTCATCTTTCTCCTGCAGAGCAACTGGTGGATTCTAACCCTGTGCCTTCTGTGTAGGCAGTGCAACTCTTGGCCCACTAGGCCACCAGCGCTTCCTTTGATTATTTACTGAGCAGATGAATAGTTGTGATAAAGAGAAATAATAAAAACCCTTCTTCTTCACTCTCTTTGGAAGGGAGGGGACACTTGTCAGCCCTGGACCTGTTCTGGGAACTGGTTCACAGGGGCAGTTCACTCAGGAACCCAGCTTCCAGATCAAGATACTGCTCTTGATAGTATCACAGGACAAAGATCCCTATGTGGGAAACAGGGCACTTTGCTCTAAAGATCACAAATGGCCACAGGTTTGTCTTTTCCCAGCTAGGCTACAGTGCTGTACGATCAGAAGGGTCTTATTTATGTCCACAAAGGGGCTGAGGTAGATTCTAGGTATATTCAGATCTGTGAAATAAGACAACACATGGAAATGTAGTTAGAACATCAGTGGGTTTCTTCTTTGTTCTTCCTATGAAAGACTTTCTATGCCCTTGATACTATAAGCCTTAGTTACCCTTCTAGTCTAGAAATGGACTCATCCCCCATGGCTCAACTTTTAAATGACAGGCCTGTAAGGTGAACTAGGGAGCTTTGGTGCTTAAAGGTAAGGAGTTACACTACCAACCCAAAGCTTGAGGTTCAGATCCACCAGCTACTCTATCAGAAAAAGTTGAGCAATCTCCTCCCATGTGATTTACAGCCTCTGAAAACCTGGAGGGTCAGTTATGAGTCAGTTCCAATGCAACAGTACATAACAACAACAACAACAACATAATGTGAACAATAATACCAGGGAGGAATACCTTCCTTAGAATAATTAACCATACAAAATCAGAAAGGCAGCATTTGCCCAAGGAGAGATCTCAGAAGGCAGAAAGTGAGGAGACAGAAGGATGAATGGAATAGGAAACACAGGGAAGAAGTGGGAAGAGTGCAGTTATATTGTGGGTACTATAATTAATGCTATACAACAAAATATATCTGAATGGTTGAACAGAAAACTAAATCTGTAAACTTCCACTCAGATCACAATAACGAAAAAAGCAAACACAAAGGATTTCAGAGTCCTTCCCATCTGGATCGGGGCAGAACAAAGAGACATGCAGAGGCCAGCATTGTGCCCTCAGCTGCTACTCACTCTGGTCCGCATAGTTCCTGGCCTTCAGCTCCAGCTGGCGGGTCTGGATCTCGTAGTGCTCCACCTGGACCTGAAGTTCCTTTTTCTCTTGTTCCAATGCATCTTCAAACTCGATGAACTTCTGCATGTGAGAGGAAGAGAAAGAACAGGTGAGCTGGCTGTACATCCACTGAGTGGAGCATGTTCCAGGCCTGTCCTGGGATCCTCAGTCTGCAAGTAGGCCTTCCCATCCTGGATCCCACCACATCACACTACCTTTCACACTGCTATGGATAGATAACCTGCATGAGCATGACCTTGTCCATGAATATGACCCTATTAGTTAACATGTGATCACATGGGGCCCCTAATCTCATCTGCTCAGTTGCCTCAAAAAGAGAAGAGTCAGAGAGACACACAGAAAAGAGAGCAATCATGAGATAACAAAGGTAGAGACAATGAGGGCTGTAGCTTACAAGCCAGGAATGTCTGTGACTACAGAAGGTGAATGTCTTCAAACTATACTCCCAAGGGAGTTTGGCTCTGCAGATTCCTACCTACAGATTCCCACCCTCTACAAATGTGAGAGAAAGCATTTCTGTTCTCATAACCGCCCTGTGGGGGGGTCTTTTTGCAGCAGTTCTGGAAAGCTCATATACACTCTCTTCAACTAAACCTCACACAGATAACAGATGGAGACTTTCCACACAGCATTCCAAGAACCTTCCAATCAGGTAGCACTCCTGGACACTGAGGTTTTTCCTTATCCAAGTATCTTACGAGAAACAGGTATTAAGGGGCCAGGCAGCTATAGTTTCTGATTGGGACTGTTTCGTGTTATAAAACCTACATGGTCATCCTCAGAAGGATGCTGGGCTGAACATCCCACTGTGACTCTTAAAATTGTTAATAATTTCTAAGCAAAACCCCCACCCCCACTGCTGTAGAATGAATTCTAACAGTGCCTCTCTATGACAGGGAAGAACACCTCCACAGGATTTCCAAGAGGTGGCAAGGATGGCACAGGACAGGGCGAGGTTCAGCTCTGCTGTCCATACGGTCACTATGACTTGTGGATGCACATAATGACAATGAAAGTTTTACGGAAGGAAAACTTGTGGGATAGTTGGTTAAGTAATCGGTCAGCAGCTGTACCACAGCAGAAAGATGGGACGTCTGCTCCTGGAAAGATTAACAATGTCAGAACCCCAATGGAGGGTAACTGTGAGTTGGAACTGATTCGAGGGCAGTGGAAGCAGACTGCTGCATTTTTCACTTGTAGAGCAGCATTTAGCTACTGCACCACTGTTTCTTCCGTGTGTGGTCGAGTTGGAGCCGAAGCATAACCAACCCTCCGGAAAGTTTTCAGAGGTTGACTGCCAGTGGAGCAGCTGTTGGATTAACTGCAAACTTTTGCATTGGCAGCACAATTCCTTACCGCGAAGCCACCAGTGCTACGCTGCCCCACTAGAGCTCCTTTTTTCTGAACAATTTCATTTTGCAGAGGGTCACATACACCATGTAGCTAGTTCTGCTTGCAGTAGAGAAACAGCACCCCTCTCAGCACTAAACTTCTCATCCAAGCAATGTCTATTCTTGGCTTTGTCTGCCAATTGTACTCAGTCGAGGATTCCATCAACACTGGAATAACCAGCAACACAAAGGATTCCACTTATTCCTTAAAAAAAGGAGGGTAACAGAGCAGAATGAAGAAAATCAAAGTTCGAGGACTCAAAAAACAATATGAGCTCAGTCTCCATGTTCTGAGAACAGAAGGACTAGATGGTGCCCAGCGATCACTGCCCCTTATGCTGAAAGGGATCACAGTAGAAGATCCTGCACAGAAAAGAAGAAAAATGTGGAACAAAACTAAAAATAATTTTTTAAATAAGCCCAGACTTACTGCAACAATAGAGACTGGGAGACCTTGAGACAAAGGCCCTTACACACTCTTCAAGCCTGGAGCTGAAATAATCTCCATCACTCAACTTTTAGTCAAACAATAGAGAGGTGTCATAACTAAAAGGTTGGTATTTGAAAACCACCAATCAATCATTACACGGGAGAAAACTGGGCAATCTCCTCCTTTAAATATTTACAGTCTCAGAAACTTGATGGCAGTGAGTTGCTATGAGTTAGAACTAACTCAATAGCAGCAGATTTTTAGATTTTTAGTAGATTTTTTCAGTAATAACTGGGAGGAACACATATCTTAGAACAATTATCCTCAAAAGATCAAAAGAGGCAGCATTTTCCCAGGCTCAGAGGCATGAAGTGACTTAAAAAAGGAGAAATAGAAATGAGAAACATAAGTATAAAGTGGGAAGAGTGCTGTTCCATTGTGGGAATTTCAATGTCATGAAACATAGTATGTGTAAGTGGAATAGAAAACTAATTTGCTATGTAAACTTTTACTCAAATCATAATAATGATTTTTAAAAGGGAGGATAGGTCTAGATCTAGGAATGGCACAATTAACTTGCTGACTGAAAGGTTAGTGGTTCAAACCCACGCAAAGCTTCCTTAGAAGAAAGGCTTAGAGATCTACCGTAGAAAAACCAGCCACTTAAACCCCTATGGAGCAAAACCCAAAGGAGGTGATAAGGAAGCAAAAAAAGAAACACACCTGAAAGTCTAGGGAGTAAGAGCCACTAATTCCCCCGCGAAGGGCCTAAGGGGGAGCTGCTGACACTTGCGTTTTGCCGACTAGGAGACTAAGAACCCAATTTAAAAATCTAGACACTACATACATGTGTAGGGAGCATAAACACCAGCTGGGCCCTTAAAGATAAAAATGGGCTTGAGGTGTTTGGGAAGAAAGATGGAGCTGACCACTGATTCACATGGGATCTGTGAAAGGGATGGCTGTGGTGGCCAAGGCTGAGCTTCCTAGAATAACTCCACCCTGCCCCCACTCAGCCCCACATCCCCAGAGACACAGCTGACAGCGGCTTCTAGAAGGTCTTTGTGTTTGGCAGCCACCAGGGCCTTTGCCCGAGAATGAGTCATTCTGAGTAGAATGGGAGGCGGGAAGGGAGCCTGGGAGGAGGAGGTGTGACACAGCACACAGGAACCCCATCGCCTGATGCAGGTGAAGGAAAGGTGATGCACATGCATTGCAGGGATGCAGGAACACAAACACGAAATGCTTTCCTCACCCCCTAGAGCAGCTAAACAGACAGACAGACACTCTCTCTCTCTCTCTCTCTCTGCTATCTGCTGTGGAATCAATTCCAAGCCCTGGTGACCCTGCACTGGGTTTCCCAGGCTCTGTATCTTTACAGGAGCAGACTGCCTCCTGCTCCCACAGCAGAGTGGCTGGTGGGATGGAAGAGCTGACCCTTCAGTTAGCAGTCCAAGACTTAAGGTCCTACTCCATCACTGATACAAGGAATATGCTGTTGCAGAAAAAACAGAAGACAATGTTAGGGAAGGGGATGACCCTATTTTCAAATCAGAGTCTGCTAAAGTCTTCTTCCTGATTTCTCTGTGCGCTTTTGTTGTTAGGTGCTGGCCAATCTGTTCTGACTCCTGGAGACCCTCTGAACAACAGAACAAAATCCCGCCTGGTCCTGCACCATCCTTACAACAGCTTCCGTGTTTGAGTTCATTGTTGCAGCCATCATGTAAACATATCCTGTTTAGTATGTGTGCGTTATCTGTGCTTTAATATGTATATGTCTCTGAGTATACATATGTGCATGTGTGTGTACTTATGTAGGTGTGAGGGTGCATGTGTCTATGTATGTGTACATGTGAGTGTGTGTACATGTGTGCATGTTGGGTAGATATGTAGGGTAGATGTGTGACCCCTCTGAAAGATGTAATGTCTTTCATAATCTGCTTTATCTTCTCATTTAAATTGGAATGTGTTTCTACAATAGTAAACTTATTCTACCACTTCTGGTGATGCAGTGAGTTATACATTGAGCTAGTCTCAAAAGGCCAAATCCACCAGCGACTTCTTGTGGGGGGAGAAGGGCAGTCTCCTCCCTCCTCCAGTAAAGACTCACAGCCTTGGAACCCAGTGGAGGGGCACTATAACTCAGAATCGAAGCAACAGCACCACGTTGATTTGGGGCTTATTAAGCACACACTAAACTGATGACACTACTTGAAACATCATGAGAATGACCAAAATGGGACATAGAAACCCAAAGTGAACACATGCTGATGGGAAAGTAGCATCAAGAGACTTGCTTGACACAGGATTGTGAAATGCTTTCAACCTGTGTTGCACAAGGTATGCCCATGTCTGATGTATGTCCCAAGCATCTTCTTGGTGCTTCTGGTTGTTTGGCCCACCAGTGACCTTGAGACTCTTTCCCAATCACTCCTGCATTTATTAATATATGTTGTTGTTATTGTTAAGTGTCGTCGAGTCACTTGTGAGTCAGCGACCCTATGTAAAACAGCTCTGAACCCTGCTCTATCCTGAGCCAATTTCATTGTCTCCAACACACCTACCCTCTTTGTCCCAGTCACTGAAATCAATCCATCTCATTGAGGGTCTTCCTCTCTTGTGCTGTCCCTCCACCCTTCCAAGCATGCTGTCCTTCTCCAAGGACAAAATGTCCTACTTGCAACATGCCCAAAGTATGTCAGATGAAGTTTCTCTAAGGAGTAGCCTGGTTTCACCCTCCCCAGAACAAACTGTTCGTTCTCCTAGCAGTTTGTGGTATATTCAATACTGTTCTCCAGCACCACAGCTCAGATGCATCAATTCTCCTTCTATCATCCCTAGTCACTGTCCAGCTCTCTGATGCATAGCAAGTAATTGCAAAGATTATGTCCTGAATCAGGCACACCCTAGTCTCCAGACTGACTTCTTGCTCTTCAATACTCTGGCGAGGTCCCTCACAGCAGATTTTCCCAATGCAGTTAATCTTTTGATTTGCTGCTGTTACTAAGAGTGTTGAATGTGGAGCCAAGCCAACTGAAGTTTTTAACAATCTCAATCTCTTCATCATCTATCATGATGCTGCCAATTGGCCCAGTGGTGATAATCTTTTTTCTTCTTGATGTTGAGCTTCAATCTATTCTGAAGGCTGCAGTCCTTGACTTTCTGCAACAAATGCTTCAAGTCCTCCTCAGTTTCGGCAAGCAAGATTGTGTCATCTGCATAACGCAGATTGTTGACTC